GAATTCATGGAGTGTTTCTGGTATGAATGATGCCTAAATGAACTTTTCGACTACTTTTAGTTGAAAGTTTGTGTAAAATTATGCCAAATAGGTGTAGGTGTCCTTTTGGTCTTCTTTTCGTTCCAAGTATTCCTTTTCGATGAGAATGTCGATACATTTCTGTGAAAACAAACAAAATACATTAGTTAGAGTTAAATCAAAAAGTCATATTAAAAAAATCATCTTAAATGCTTGATATGTACCTTGATGACAGGAATTTTGGGCTTGAATCGTGATGCAAGTTGTGTGAGCACCTCACCGACCAAGTTTTGATGATTGAGCACTTTACGCATTTTCATAATACGCACAATAGCTGCCTGTATCAAAATTTTTCGATCTTCTTCGATGTGCTTATGCGTGGCCTCCTGTTCGATCTTCTGTTCGGCTTTAAGCGGCATGTTTATGTTGACGCGTAATTTTTTACTATTAAAAAAAAAACAAAATTCAGTTAGCCAGATATTATCAATATTATGAAATAGAATCGAGATAACTCACTTTTTGTATGCCAAATATAGGTGAATGACTGATGCAACGTTCAAGCTGTTTTCATCATCTGAGCATGTAAGCAATTTTGCTTTTAAGAGAATTTGCAAGACTTGGATCAAATATTCTTGAGCAATACCTGAAATAATGAATACAGAAACAAATTAGTTAGCCACACGAACATGACACCAAATAAAAATGTTTAAAATCGCAGCTTACCAGTATTTTCGCCGAGTTGTTGTACCGTTAGGCTGGTTTGTTCGTTAAACTGCAGCAACACCGCCATTTGAAAGGTACTTGCCTGTGATTAAAATCGAAAAATATATATTTAGTAAGAAGTATTAGCACACCCAGTGTGGAAAAGGTATTTAAATACTGTTTTTTTACTTGCTCATCAATCTTACCTGTAATGTGTATCGATTTCTGAAGCAATTTGAGACAATTTCACCTTTGCTTATATTATACAGCCAGTGAAGTTTGCGACCCGAATGAAGATCGACATAAAATATATTGAAATCTTGAACTGATCTTTCAAGCTCGGATGGCAGCGAAAAATTTATTCCTTGAGTAAATGGCCATGAGCCACTTGACAGCACTTGAATGCTAAAATCGATTTCACTTGGCACGCCGTCCGATTTGAGTTTCGTTTTAAATTTTTCATTAAGATCCTTGGAAATGCCAATGTCTTGGAACATTCGTTGTAATTTGACTGTGTATTCATAACCGCAGGCCTGTTTCATTTTTGAAATCATCGATGCTTCGGCATCGTCTGAAGCCGATGTGTGATTCACCAAACGTTTTGCCAACATTTTGCTGTAAAACTTTTGGAATACATCTTTGTCCTCAATATATTTAAATACAACCATGATCTGATTGAGTGTGTCTTCAAGTTCGGCTTCTTCAGGATTCTTACTCGATTTTTTCAACAATAAATCACAGTATCTTGCCAATAGTTCCGGGCTTTTGCTTGAACTTTTGCCGGCCGTTGTTACCGCATTTGAATTTATGAATTTTTCACATGCCTTGTCAAGAGCAGTCACAAATCCGGTTTCATTTTGGAAAGATACCGATACGAGAGCATTGTACTTTTTATGAACACCAAGTATGGTTTGTACATATACTTTTGGATCCTGTAAAGAACAAAATGGTTTATTTTCGGTTTAAATTATAAACTTTCGATTTTGTGATTTGATTTGATTATAAATTTGGTCAACATACATTTATAGCAGCTTCAGCACACTGGGCAATCACTTCCAGACCTTGTTTTTGGATGTATTCTTTCAATGCATCTTTGAGTTCGTTCAATCCATCGCTGACGCGAGACACCAGCGAGTACATACGAGCTAAGTCAGTATTTTTGTTCAAGTTCAGTAGATTCTGTGGATTGAGAATGAACAAGTGTTAGATAAAGTCATATAAGCCGAGCAGAGCTGTTATAGGGACCAAAGAGGTCTTGAAAAATTATGGAACAGCTCCGAGTTCTTTGGTGCCAGCAACAGCTCTGCATAAATTATTTTTAAAAAAATGTTGTGACTTACCTGAAACTCAGTACGTAAGATATCCATGTGTTTTTCGATGAGAACATGTTCGCAAGTCATACGTAACCTGGTGAGTGTGTTTTCGTGCAAATAAACTTGGACACGTTTTGCTTCTTCGTTCAAACGTTGTTCAACGCGTTTCATATACTCGGTAACTGAGTTTTGTCTAAGGAATTCAATACTTTCAGCTGCATAAAAATGTTCGGTGTCCTGTAAAAATAAACTTTCAAAGCTCTTCTTGTAAATATCCAAAACTTGTTTGGGTCCCATCGGGTAATCTTCATCTACTCCCAATTCAACATAGCAACTGATTGCACCGGATATGAGACGGGAATCAATCGTTTCACCATTACGTTCACGTTCGATCAGTTTAAGTACGGCATTTGTAACTTTTTTGTGAAAATTTTTGAAGAGACGTTTCTGCCATATATTCAATGCCACCTGATACACTTCGAAAATGTCTTTTCGGCCTTCCTCACATTCGCGACGCACCCATTGACGATTAACGTAACCGCAAACACCATTCAGTACACGACTGGAAAAACGAAATTCAACCCATTTTGTGGTGAAAAATGCCAACGCCCTTTCTTCTTCCTCTAAATTATAGGCACTCTGAAAACGAAAACAAAATAAAAAGTCTTACGGGAGTAAGACGAACTTTTCCGCACTGTGGTAGTTGCGTATTTTATTAAGAAAGTTCAAAATAATATTTGCTCGATTCTTCAAGTCTTTCAAGCGGCGTAAAGTTCGAGACCAAAAAATAGGTTTCAACTTTGGCAACGAAATATTTTTTAATTTAATAGCAGAAGTACCCGAGAAAAGATTTTTCACACTTTCATGATGAACCCATTTGTACGACATTTGAAAGTATTCTATTTTCTAACAAAATACTATAAAAAATATGTCTGACGTTAATTTTGCCATAAAAATTATTTTTGAAACACTTTCCATAACTAAAGTCACAAAAAATTTGGATCTTTGTATGGGAGCCATGTCTGTATGCTATATTAATGGTGTGAAACTTTGCACAGGTTATTTTTTCACAAAAAAATAACATTCGTAGGGTTTGGAGAAATTTCAACCAAAATTAAGGGTACCTCCCATACAAAATATTCGTTTTTGAGCCAAAAATTTAAAATTTTGTATGGAAGGTACCCCTAACTTTGATCGAAATCTCTTCAAACTTTCAGAATGTTATTATTTTGTGTAAAAAATAGTCTGTGCAAAGTTTCACGTCATTAAAGTATCATACAGGCATGGCTCCCATACAAAAATTCAATTTTTTTGTGACTTTTACAAGGAAACTGTATTAAAAAATATGTCTGACGTTAATTTTGCCATAGAAATTATTTTTGAAACACTTTTCATAACTCACAAAAAAATAACATTCGGAAGGTTTGGAGAAATTTTAACCAAAATTAAGAGTACCTCCCATGCAAAATATTCGTTTTTGAGCCAAAAATTGAAAATTTTATATGGGAGGTACCCCTAATTTTGATTGAAATCTCTTCAAACTTTCAGAATGTTATTTTTTTGTGTAAAAAAAACGTGTACGTACGACGTACAGATTAACATAAACCATGCTCAAAACGGCCTGATTCGGGTTCGCTGACCTCAGAAACGTCCAGAAAACATGTTTCTGAAGTTTTCAAAATTTTGACCGATTACAATACTTTTCACCTTACACTATGTGTGCGGAAAAGTAAAATAATTACTTTAAATTGCCATTTTTGGAAATGAAATTGATTGCCGAAATACACACCTTCATCACCTTGGTCAGATATTTCTCAAGAAAATCATTTAGCCGATTATAAAGTTCGTTACCAAGCATCGCTGCATGGCCATTTATTTTTATGTCTTTTAATGACTTTGTGTTATTTCTGTTGTGCTTGATGTCGGTGGTACTGTAGTTATACACGAGCCTGCAATGAATTTCAAAAATACGAGTTAAATATTTGTTGAAAATGTTCGAATGTCTTAATTAAAATGAATTCAAACTAACGTATATAAGTCCATATACTGAGCCATGGTTAGACTGGGCTCTCGATTGAAAATTTGCGTAATACCCGCCTTTAACTTGCCCCATATCTATTGAAAAAAAAGAAGAAAATAATAAATATTAAAACTTCTCAATTGAGTACGGCTTAGTCACACTTACTTTATCCAGTTCCGCGGCTCTGGCGCGAGCTATATCGGCAGCCATGTTTTCAAAACGGACAAATGATTTCTTTTTCGACTGTAAACTAAAAAAAATAATCTATTATAGAATGATAATAAATGGAACAACACTATCATGGCCAATTTATCTATTTTTCTCTTTAAAAACTGTGGAAACTGGCGAAGTCACTCGAAAATCAACGTTTAACTTTAAATATGTGGTTTGTGGTAAATATTAGCTGAAGTAGACGATGTTTACTTGTTGAATGTAATCACAATAATTACTTCGAAGCGCCAAAAGATGTAAATTTATATCTTTTTGTTCTGAACATTAGAGATGGTGACAAATGAACAACTTATTAACATTAATTAATCCTATGGTCTTCTTGTTTGAATTTATGCGCAAGGAGGCGTTGTTAATGCATTTGTTCTGTTATTTTCCTGTGGTCTAAAGGTGGCAATGCAAATTAAGACTACCTGATCGGATATTTTATAGGGTTTTTAATTAAAATTTCTGAATATTTTTTTTTTGTGACAAGTTTTTTTGAGTTTTACGTCATTACGATATAATACCGGCATAAATTTAATTTTTTGTTGATGTTTGTTTGAAAACTATGTCAAAACTTATTACTTGTATCGCAAAACGTCAAATTCTCGCGCCAAAAATCCTCCACTACATATTTTCACGATGGAAAAATTGATTATCGAAAATTGGTTACCGAAAAATCTTCCATATCTCAAATTAACTGTTGGATGATATAAAAATGCCTTATTTTCCCAAATATTTCACACTTAGATACAAAAAAAAAAACTTTTTTTTAGGCTAGTCCAATCAACACATATAAACAGCTGTTATGCAGCTGTATGACAGCAACACACAAAACTCACCACAATTAATTCGTGAAATTGAAGCTAAAATACGTGATGATTATTCTTTGTGACTTTTTTCCATGTCTTTTATTTTATTTTTGACTTTAAATTGAGAAAAAATAAATAAATACGCTTTTCTACGACAAACTAATACTCATTCATAACAAATTTGAATGACTTACTTTGATGTTCTGTTTTTCTTCTTCTTCCTTCAAATAATTTCTGACCTTTCAATCGAATGCAAACTAATTGCAATTGATACGTTTGTTGCTTTTCTTTCACTATTTTCAAAACACAACTCTTTGACAGCACTTCAAATAAACAGTATTATACGAATTACGCCACCAAACACAAATTACGGTTCAATAATGATGAAAGCAATACAAATTTTTTCACGATGTTTAAAATGTTTTTTTTTTCGTCGAAGGCCTGTGGTAAAAGAACGAATGAACTGTTTTTTTATATGTGCAGTCGTGTCAATGTCTAAAGAGATAATGAAAGACTGTGTTGACAGTCAAGTACAACAAGTGACACTTATACTGCAAATTTACCTAAGCGTTCACATACAAAGACACCATTACATGTCCAATTGACTTTTGCCTAAATATTTGCTGTGAGTGTATATGAGTAAGACCGTCACACTACGACGTTTGTATCGTTGTTGCTGTCGTCAATAAAATGTGTCAAATTACTGCAAACATACCCTTTTGCATTGAGAAAAATAATCTGTGACTAAGGAAATGTTTAAAAAATAAACAAATCGCGTTTGAGTCGTATAATTTTCAATTTATTCGAATATCATGAAATTGTCAAAGAGATAATTATTAAAATTTTGTTTTACAAATTGTGGTACCAATTCAGTGGACTTAATTTATAAAAGAAACTGTCTTGAACGATTGAGTTTATGAGTTGATTCGGTTGTGGATGGTGTCCAAATGTACTTTCAGACTAAATTTTGTTGTGCACACGTATATGCTGTTTCAACTTATTTTTATGGACACTGACATACTTCTTGCAGATATGGCATTCATATCGACGCATTTTGCACACTTTCTCGTGGGCATCTTTTTCGGCCTTCTGCGAAAATCCACTGAAACAGCCTCGGCAATGGAACGGGATTTGTATGATGTGAGTTACCTTGTGCCTCTTTAATATGTCCGCTCTTGCGAATTCTTTGTGGCAAATATCACATCGATACGGTTTTTCACCAGTATGAGTACGCATGTGTGTATTTAAATTCCATCTTTTTTCGCTGGAATATTCACAAAGTTGGCAATTATACCGTTTCTTCAACTTCAATTGTTCCGATTCACCATCCGTAATAGTAGCAGTTGTAGGTCGCTGCATTGTAAAATTGCGAATTGATTCAACTGAAGTAGGTTCCAGCATTTTTGGTGATATGTTGGTGTGCTCTTCGTCGCTTGAGTCATCGATTTCAATGTAATCGATCTTCCGAATGGATTCTTTGGTTTCCATTTGACTTCCATTTTCATTCCAATTGAAGCTTGATGCTCCGAACATATTTCGAACATTGGGTTCTTCCTCAATCTGCGAGTTGATTTCAAAGTGTTTGTAAGCTTCTTCTAGCCTGCGAAAATTCATGCAAATTCGTGTTAATTCAAGAGAAAGGAGCACGAGCGACTTATACATACCGAGCATTAGAGACCTGTAAGAAGTACTGCTTGAAATTGGCATTGATTGACTTGCCACTGAGATTTAATGCCAATTTTATGTTTCCCAACGAATGGATGGCCTGACGTTCAAAAGCCACTAGCATTTTGAACATCTCATCCCTCCAGTCCATTGTTGGCATTTCCATCTATATTTAAAATATAAGAAACATAAATTCCATTGACTGTATGCTGCTGCATCAGATGACATCATTAGATCATCTGTTAACCCTTCCATTCCTATTAGAACCATAAGAAAATCGAAATTGAGAAGAAACAATATTTTTTCTAATATTTTTTCTCATTTCCAATCTTGAGGACTTTTCTTAGCTCTTTGTTTTGTTAGTGAAATATGACACAATATTTGGGTGATTTGTTGGTTATGTTTGCTTCTCAATAAGCTTATGCTATTCTTACCTTAATTAAATCACAGTTAATGTAATTTTCCTTCAAAAAAATCTATAAATTTCAATCGAATTTAAGCGTTTGTTCGATAAAATGTAAGGATCCAAGTATTTTTGCGTCTGAGTCCGATTTATTTTATGATCAAATATTGTTTAGTTTGATAGTGCGCAGAATGAACAAAATCAATAAACGATAACGTGCTTTGTGCAAGGCAATGAGTAAGTAATTTTAGTGGCAGTGTGTACTCTGTGCTGTCAAATGTTAATTGTCGCCACATTCAAATCGCTTTGCAGCGAAATTTTGTCGCTACTGCCAAAATTACTTTTTTTTCGAAATTCAAAAGAAATTGATTAAGAAATAAAAAGAGATGTAACTTTTTTTCTAAATTATTTTTTAATATTTATTTATTTCAAAA